ATGTATATATATATATATATATATATATATATATATATATATATATATATATATATATATATATATAATTATATGTGAATGATTATAATATAAATTATTATATATAATTATATGTGAATGACTATACTATAAATGCAAAAAAAAAAAGGCTAAAAAGTTCACAAGTTACTTATAAAGTATGTAAGATAAAATATTTATATATAAGTTAAATATAAATGTATTATATTACATAGTTTATATAGCATTTAATTTATATTTGTTTTTATAATATAGGTAATATAAACTATAAAATATAGTTTTTATAATATATCATAATCATTTAACTATATATTATATACAATTTGTATCCAATAAATTTGTGTGCATATTATATTACAACACGATTACAACAATTGTATGCAAACACAATTAATGCATACAAATCAAACTCTGAAAAATAATAAAATATTAAAAATAATAATATATGTCCAAGCATAGTATACTATGTTATACAATGTATATATATATATATATTATATATATATATATATATATATATATATATATATATATATATATATATATATATATATATATATATATATATATATAAGCTATAAACCTGTGTATAATACTGCTATATTTTTAAAATTAATGTTATATTTTTTTTAATAATTTAATTTGATTTTCATTAGCATTTATTAACTCTAAATTTCTAATTTTGAAATAGTACTGATGAAAACACAAAGAAATTAGATATTGAAAAAGCCTCATAACGAGTGAAGTAATACAGCATGAAACTCCAAAATCATGGTTGAGATTCTCTGAAAAAACATGTTACAAATCTATTTTTATTTAAAACCAAGTATTATCTCCTCGTCAAATAGCCAATAAGTTAAATATTGAATATTCACATATTTGAAAACCTTATACTGAAACAGATGACATTATGGATCTGGATAATCTGGTGAGCAACACAATGAGATAAACGTTTTTAATTAATAAAATTAATTTGCTTGATGAAATACGACAGCAAGTGGTGAAATGTTATATTCTCAGACAAAATGAATGTTGAGGTAGATATGCAAAAATATGTTATTGCTTCGTGTTCTGCTATGGCGATTACCTCAAGAGTAATTTGATTTGAATTGTTTTAATATATTATTTGAAATATATACTTAACTTTAGTCCGATTGTTTTTTTAAATTAAGATAAAATGTTTAATTATTATTATTTTTTTTGGTATCTAAATCAATATGTTTAGATCTTTTTTTGAATTTTCATAATGCATATAGATTTTACTTGTATTAAAAAAATAAAAGCATTTTAGTTTTCGATTTAGTTGATTTTGCATTTAATGTTTTATTAAAAAATCGTGACAAAAACAATGTGTGCTCTAATTTAAGGCCTAAAAAATCTTACCTACCTCAAAAAACTAATTTAATATCATGTCGTAGATATATATATATATATATATATGTATATATATATATATATATATATATATATATATATTAGGCCCCTGCTAAGCCTAAATATTTTGAATCAAATCAAATAAGTGATTCAAGACTTGACTCAAAAAATCTCTATTTATTTGAATCAAATCAACCTGCTTTTATTAATAGTTTATAATGAAATTAGCTCAAGGTCATATCATTATAAATTTTCACAATCTTGAGTAATAACATTATTAGAATGTTATTACTCTAATAACATGAAGTTGTCTCGGAAATTTCAAGATACATTAAAAAAAAATTTTTTTTAACTAAATTTAATTATGGTCATGCTTTGGTCAATTCTAAATGTTTTGCAAAAAATTTCATGAATTGTTAACAAAATTTCCCCTACAAGCTAACTGCCTCTGCCAAAACATGATGACAATGACTTGATAAAATGTTTAGTTTCTCTATCTAATACTAAATAAACCTTCAGTTTTCAATTTAATTTATTTGTATTATTGTGCCTAAAAGTTATGACCATATAAAATTAACAGCCCCCTCGATATGATCAAACTTTGCTCATTTAAATACTAAAAAAATATTATAAGATATTTTATTAATTATTTTAGCAATAAATAGTTAAAAATGAAAAAAACTTTTAAAATTCGAATGTATTAAAATATGAAATGATTTTAACAAAAACAAAAAGTAAATATATTAAAAATTGTATGTTAGGCCGACTTCCATGGGTCTAACATACATACGTATTGAAATTCATAAATATATATATGTATATATATATATATATATATATATATATATATATATATTTATATATATATATATATATATATATATATATATATATATATATATATATATATATATATATATATATATATATATATATATTCTTTAGTTATGACTAGGAGTGTTTAAACTATTTATTTATAGAATGTAGAAATTTGTTTTGTTTTTTATTTGTTTATCTCTCCATTGACTTTTTAACCACAATAACTGCAAATACCTATACTGCATCCATGCATATATTACATACATATTTAAATATGTATGTAATATATGCTAAAATAATTGATAAAGTATACATACATCTATTATGTATGTATGTATTAATAAAAACAATCCTGCCTGCCTGTCAAAGACAAAATTAGATGTGTTTTTGTTAATTTTAATAAATGGACCTTTCCCATAAATCGGCGAATGCGCAATGCATTGTGGTAGTTGTATTCATTTAAATCAAAACAATCCGATTAAAGTTTTTTTGGAATTAAATATTATTATAATGATGAGTTCTTTTAATGCTAATTTAGAAAATAAAATTGATGCTAGTTCTTTTCAGAACTCTTGCCAGGCATCTAAAGCTGTGTATCGGGAACTTAAGCATGATGAACTTTTTGCTGTTGACGAAGAAGAATCTATAAACAAGAGTATATCAACTTGGTCAAGAGACATTTCACTTTTACCAAATATATCTCACAATTTTATCAAGAAATATCTTGTTAATGATACTACATATATTGATAATTGTAAAAAAGGAGCCAATAAACACCAAACTCTTGGCTATCGTTTATTTAAAGAAAACTATGTCAAAAATGTATGTGTTAAAGCAAATGTAACAGCATCCGTAAATTTGTTTATTGTAAAGTCTAATGTTGCTGCTTCAATTAAACGTAAACAATACGAAGTTTTTATACACTTGTGCCAATCTACTGGTGAAATACTTTATGCTAAATGCCATTGTAAAGCTGGAGCGGGGGGCTGTTGTAAGCATGTTGCTGCATCATTATATCAACTAGTTGACTATAAAGAGTTAGACATTAAAGTGGTCCCAGAAACCGAAACATGTACTGATGTTTTACAGATATGGCATGTACCAGGTGAATCATCCAACTCTGAAGCAATTTTGTTTTCAAACTTAAATTTTGAAAAAGCTGATGCTTTTAAAGACAAAAATAGTACTCGAAAAAGACCTTTAGTTTCAGGAACACGTAGATACCATTCATTACCAAATTGTTACGAAACTTCAACTTTACAACTTCAAACTCTTTGTGAAGGTTTAGAAAATCTCTGCCAGGGGACATATATATCTTCAATAATTCGTGATAATAACTTTCAGGCATGTTCCTTTTTTAATTCATCTCTGTCAACATTTATAGACAATGATATTGCAGAACCTTTTAGTAAAAAAGATGACAGATTGATTATTATAACTCTTTTTGACAATTTACAAAATATGATTGATTTAAGTTGTTTGTCTACTGAACAAAAAGCATTTGTAGAAATGCATTTAATTGTTGACATTGAGGAAGCTAAAAATATTGAAGTCAATACAGTTAAACAATCTAAAAGTATATTATGGTATCAAGAAAGATGCAAACGATTGACAGCTTCAAATTTTGGTACTGTAATGAATAGGTGGAAAAAAATTTACCCAACATCAATTTTAAAAAATTGTTTACAAACTAAAAATATCAAAGTAGGAGAAAGCTGTATGTGGGGAAAGGTTAATGAAGATATAGCAATAAAACTATATGAAAGCATAACGAAGTCAAGTGTTACTCGATGTGGTTTTTTTATAAACCCAAAATGCCCTTAGTTGGGTTGTAGCCCTGATGGAGTAGTTAGCGCTGAAAAAGTACTTGAAGTGAAATGTCCTTCTTCAAAAAAACATTTAACAATTGAAGAAGCGTGTCAAGATAAAAACTTTTATTTGAAATTTAACGATGGTGCTCCAAAATTAAAAATAAACCATCCTTATTACTATCAGTGTCAAGGCATTATGGCACTAACAGAAACTAAAACAATTGATTTTATTGTATACACAGAAAAGTCATTGCACATCGAAACGATAGAGTATGATGCGGAATTATGGAATACAATTATTTTTCCAGAATTAACAGATTTTTATTTCAAATTTATGTCAACAGAAATATTTAAAGTAAAATAAACATTTACATAATATTTATAAAATGTTTCTTTTTTTGTCTGGTTACATTATTTGCTATCAGTTTTTATTAGAGGTGGTAGAAAAGTAACTAAATAACAAACTATGACCCATATTTTGTTCATGTCAGCAGCCATTGTAAGTGGAAATGTGTTTTGTAATATTTTGTAGTTTTTGATTCTTGCAATTGCACGTTCCACATGAATTCGCACAGATGCGATTCTTCTTGTTTCTAATTCTTTTTCCAAAGTAAGTTGAAAATCGCCTTCAAGAAATGGTGGTATGTTGAGACTTATTCCTTTTGGTAAGTCATTTACGATATCGAAACCTCTATCTGCCATCAGGCTATCACCTTTTTCTAATAATTTTAGTATGCCACAGTGATTTGTTATCTGTTTATCGCTTGATCTTCCTGCATATAAATCAGAAACAAATGTAATGGCACCACTCGGTGCAATACCAATCAAACCCTTTGCTGTGTGATGATGTTTATATTTTGAGAACATTGCTGATTAAGTGCTAGCTAGTTGGCATAACAGTAAATATTTCTGTACAGTCTATAATTACACGAGTATTAGGGTATACATCTTTAAAGCAACTAGGCATTGTTTCATTAACTAGTTTTTTGTTGGCCATATTGGAATTGATCTAAATTTTATGTGCAAAAAATCATACCAAGTAATTAATATCCTACTGGTAGTGCTCGATGAAATATTAAACCGTATTGCTAAATCTTCTATAGGAAAGGCGCAACGTAGTCGAATTAGCACCATAAAAAATTCCTCTTCAACATTTAATATACGTGATCTTCCTCTTGTTTTAGATGAAGAAGTTTCAGATAAATTGTCAGCAATAGTAGACATTGAACCCCAATAATTTAGTGAATATATTTCTGGTTCTAAAAACTTCATGACTACTTTAAATAGTTCAAAATTTTCAAAACCTGTGTAAAATTTGAAATGTTCTTTGTTATGTTTAAACCTTTCAACTGTAAATTGTGATAGAAGTATTTTGTCATTGAGCTTACATATAGCTTCTTTTTGAGTGTTTACTAACGCTTGTTTTTCTTTTATAATGTCCTCAATTTGATCTTTAAGAATTTTATTTTCTTGTTTTAATTTTTCTTTGTAGCTTAAAACAGGTGTCGACAGTTCTTCACTATAAGGTATTTGTGTTGTTTTATGTAATAAACCAAGGCTATTTTTGGTTTTCCTTGGTACATGAGCAGTTAGTTTAACTGTTTTTGGAATAATTGTTGGAACATTATTCATATAAGTTTTTTTGTTCCCTTGAAAGTGTGCTGAACAAACTCTGTGTGAAGAAGAAGGAGTGAAGTCTTTTCTGCTAATTTTGGCTAACCATAACTTTCTTAACACTTTTTCCTTGGGTATAACATAAAATGATAAGTTTTTATTACGCTTAGAATTATTAAAACAGTTTGGTACACAACAAGTACATCCACCACTTTTTGAAGTGAAGTCAACTTCACTGTTAAAAGAGAGTTCAACTTCCTTCAGTGAGATCGAATTTTGTTCACTGTTTTCACAAGGTTCAACTTCTCCGTTAAAAGTGAGTTCACCTTCAGTAATTTCACTATCATCTTCACTGTTTTCATAAAGTTCAATTTCACTGTTTTCACAAAGTTCAATCTCACTGTTTTCACATAATTGAACATCACTGTTAAAATTTATTAGGCTTTTCGACATTTGTTTTGATTTAAATGAATACAACTACCACAATGCATTGCGTTTTTGCCGATTTATGGGAAAGGTCCATTAGCAAAAATACATCAAATTTTGTCTCTGTTATAGCACTCTATTTTTAAAATACACTAACATACGCATTGAAATTTATAAATATATATGTATATATATATATATATATATATATATATATATATATATATATATATATATATATATATATATATATATATATATATATATATATATATATACGTATATATATATACACACATATATCTTTAAAAGTCATTTCTTGTTATACGATATATATATATATATATATATATATATATATATATATATATATATATATATATATATATATATATATATATATATATATATATATATATATATATATATATATATATATATATATATATATATATATATATGTAAAAATTGATTATAATAAAAAGATAGCGTATAACCATTTTAAAATATATTTAGATGTAAAAATAGATTAACAATAGTATATTTTAACTTTATTTATATATATATATATATATATATATATATATATATATATATATATATATATATATATATATATATATATATATATATATATATATATATATATATATATATACACATATATATATATACTCACATCAATGTAATTATGTATTGTGATTATAGGGTAGCCTAGCAACAGCTTACTAAAAGTTAATGTTAAAAAAATTTCTTTTAATCTTGAAAAAAAATTGAATACTAATATCAGTAAACATTCTAAGAAAGATCAACAGTTCATCTATCTGAAAAAGTTAAAATTTAAAAATTTCTACGCTCAAAATTTTTTTAAAAACAATTTGAAAACGATAAACAAAACACACTAAAAAAGCTATTGCTGTAATTACATTTTATTCGTTTTTTGAGGTTTTATATTTAATTTGAAACATTTTATCGTGTACTAGAAGTTACTTTTATTATAATTTTCTTTTAATAAACGGCTAAATCCATATTTAATTGCTTAAAATTAGAAATATAGCTCGTTGTCAATGAGAATTTTTTTTATATTCGTTATCCGTAGCCATTTTTAAAACTTTTAAAATATGCAAACTTTACTGCGCTTGCGTATAATAACTTTCCACTTATTTAATAAGTCTGAACGACCGTGAATTGCAATATTACGCCGAAAAAAAAACATTTGCTAAATGTTGGCCCAATATAGTACGATATTTGCAAAAAACAGGTTTGTAGAATTGAAAAAAATACGCCGAAAAAAAAATTGGCTAAATGTTGGCCCAACAGAATAAACTTGCCAATGTTAAAACTTACATTGGGCCAATGTAAGCTTGCTGTCTGGGTCGTTTTTTGAAATTTGCCAACTGACTGGTCTACATTTTCCGAATAACTGTCTAAATTTGCCGGCTGACTTGTCTAAAAGGTCTACATTTGTCAACTAACTTGTCTAAAAGGGTCAAATTTGCCAACTAAATGAACGAAAAATTGATGAATTCATTAATGATTCATTGATGAAATCATGGTTCATTGATAAATTCATTATTTATTGTTTGAGTGTCACACACCAACACACACACAAACACACACACATACACACACACACACACACACACACACACGCCCATCCTATTCGCGCCTGCCTTGATATGATAAAAATTTTGATAATTATATTTACACGAGCTTATTATTTTTATTTATAACTTTATTTTTTATTTACACTTAATAAAATTTGATTTTGATTCTCAAATAAAATTAATCTTTATTTGAGAGCAAAAATCTGTTTTTAATTTTGAAATTGAAAAAATTAAAAAAAACATTGAAAAAGTGAAATAGAAACTGAAAAATTATTCTGTTCTAAATATTTTTTTGTTTTGAAAAATCTAAAATCTAATTAATTAAACCTATATATTTCTTTCTCCCACTTCATTTTATTGAAAAAACATACTGAATACTACAAATTGAACTTTGAATTTGAACGAAAAATCTAGAGCAAGATGCGTAATAAAATCTATTTTTGTTTACTCTTCTGATTATGCGGCATTTTGTGGAAATGTTTATTTATTTTTTTTCATATAAAATTTTTATACTTTGAAAAAAAATGTTTATATATTTTTTAGTTGAAACACGACAATGATGTGATACCAGGTGTTTACTTTGGGTTAGTCTATACTATTTTAAAACGATTTGAACTGTAAAATTGATTGATAAAATGAATTGATTAATTTACAAACATGCAACTGTTCAATTATTTAACTTATTAATGTTCTAATTTTTTGTTTTCTCTACTTTGTTTAGAACTTTGTGTTGTTTTCTCTACTTTTTTGAGATCTCTATATTGTTTTTTCTACTTTATTAAGAACTCCATGTTGTTTTTTCTACTTATTGAGATGTCACTTCATCGCACTGCCTCATAACGCAAAAAGCACTCAATTGGTAGATTGAAAGGTCAAAGTTTGTAAAGACTATTATTACAGATTATCCACAGCACAGATTCACATAATCAAGTTCACATTCTACCATTTTCTAAAAAATCAATGCAGTTTGCCAAACAAATAAAGAATCTGTTCTCTCCAAATTCAAACCAACTTGGTCGAGATATAAAAAGTTGAAACTACCAAACTAATTTTTTGCATCAGAGTAAATCTTTTGACAATTATACCAACCATGTTGAGGACAGTAATGTAAAAGTTATTCAGAGTTTAGGCTTTATCTTCCAGGATGGGTAAGTTTTCTATATGAAAATTTTTTGGTGTTTCATATAGGAAACTTTCACACATTGTGCAAACTTCAAATTCTAGTATGTTCATACCTATGCCAAATAAGGTTGCCTTGCAAAAATTTAGGATGACGGAGGCTTGAGAACAAACGTCCCTTAGAAAACCCTTAAACTTCTGCCTTACCCCCCCCCCCCTCCACTTAAATTTAAAAAATGTGTTGAAGTGTACAATCTAAAACATATATTTATTTATTTTGCCTGTAGTTACTTTTCTTTTTTTTGTGTTTATCTTTAAAAAACGTGCTATACTGCTCAATTAGAGAAAAAATAAAAAAACCCTGAAAACTAGAAATTGGTTTTCCGAGTACCCGTTTATCCCTCTGTTATGTATTACAAGTTGCCACTGTTAAACTTGTGAAATAAATTTCTATCAGAGAAAAGAAGATATTGCCAATAAAATAATAAAAATGTTTCAAAGCATCAATTTGACTTTCTCATTTTGATTTACTCAAATAAACAGTGAAACTAGAACAGTGAGACTGGATTCAAAACTTCCCAACAACAAGTTGATGCAGAAAAAATACACAATCATGTTAACATAAGCACGACATCAAAGACGACTGTTGCTTTTAAGCAAATTTAGCATCACCACCAACAATTAAATTTGATGTACCCAACAAAGAATTTATCTAAAAAACATTTGTTGGGTACCTTATTTTTTTTCTCATATTGCTGCCATTGTTATTTTGTATATCAATTTTAAAGTGTTACCCCAGAAAACTCACTCTAAACAGTCACCCAGTTTGCCTTGTGCTTAAAGCTGGCTTGTAGAGCCGAACCGGAGCAGGAGCCGTGGAAACGCTGTTTTTTGGTGGAGCAGGAGCCTCAAAAATCAAGCGGCTCTCGGCTCTCGTGTTTTTTTTTTAAAGGAACAGAAGGTATGTTTTTTTTTTACTGTAGACAAACTTTATTCATTTCTTGTTTAACTAATTTGTTGAATGAATTATTTATTGAATTTCTTTTTTTTTTTCCTAACAGTTACGGTCTTCTAAACGTAATAAAAATGGTTATTTAGACAGTTTTGTACTCAACAAAATACTATCCTTTAATAGTATTTCTTAATATGCTTTATTAAAAAAAAAGTAAATTATATATAGAAACATTAGAGTGTTGCATTTACTGCAACACAGCATTATATTTTTATAATGGTATCATTATAAAAATATAATGTATCATTATATGCTGTTAAATATTTGATGCTCGATTTAATGATCAAAGGTTATTCATATCTTTAAAATTATACTAAAGAATGCGATCGTTCAATTTGGAACGATGAATTTCGTTTTAAAACTTGTCGGTTACACATTTTTAAATTATTTTTTTCCCGTTATTACATTATGTAATAATGGTAGTAAATAAAATCATCATCAAACGAGTCAAAATGTTTCTCTTAATTAAAATGCCGTTGAAACATTTAGATAAACGAAAGAAAGAGTGGCTTTAAGGATAAGAAAGCAGCAATTAATATTCGACGATCATTTACGCAAACCCCCGGCTTATCATACAGAGAACAAACCAAAAAGTTTTTTTGACGTTTCAGAGTTTTTTAAAAATCAAAACTTTGCAAGCAATATGCAGCTGCGATTTGAGATCTCGAGCTTTTGTCACATAATCAACTTTAAACTTGAATGTTTAGATCAAAGAATACTTGCAAGCTAGATTTTAGCAATTTTATCGAAGTCACGATATTCCCTGTTGGTTCTGGCCTAATCTTGCTTCTTGTCATTATTCTAAGAAGAGTGGTACAACTCGAGAGACATAAAATTCATACCAAAAAGCTTGAATCCATCAATATGCACATAGTTCCGTCGCATTGAGAAATTTTGAGGAATAGGCAAAGGGTATTTGCGTAAAATTGGTAAAAAAAATAATTACAGCTAAAAATTTTATTAGAGAGTAGATATTAGTAGGAAAAAAAATCTCCAAAGACATTGTGCAGAAGTTAATGTTGTTGATTAGTGTAAATATCTGCTTATTTATTTGTAATAATGAAAAATATTAAAATAAAAAGCACTTTTATAATCTTTAAGTTCCTTAGATTAAAATAAATATTTTTTGTAGTTTTTGCATTAGTTGAACTATTTTTTTGAATTTTTGATTGTTTTAAATTTAGCGATTGCATTTTTTACCCAATGGGCATGGGACATAAAAAAGAGGTCTTCTAAACGTCTTTGGAGTATTTTAAACGTCTTTTGAACGTTTTGGACGTCTTTTGAAC